TGCCCCCAGGTGGTCGATAGCCTTCGGCTCCGTTGTTGCTGCCGTCATCTAGCTTTTTGGCTTGGAACTCCTTAGTCAAGCCAAGGTAGTCCTTCATCTTATGCTTGGCGTTCTTGTGGAGAGGGCACGAGCTGTCGAGGATCTTCTTGTACTGCTCATCGTAGTTGCGCTTGGCACGAGGTTCATCAACGGCGGCGACGATGTGGTCTGGACAGCGGCGACGATATTGACCAGACTTGGATCCTTCTGGCCGATCATGACCGCTGTCCCGATGATGACTGCGGTAATCATAGCGGTGGTCGCTGTGGCGCCGATCGTCGGGGCGATCATCGCCGCGGTGAGTTAGGTGATGAGTGCCCGCATCCTCGTTGAAGCGCACCTCAGCTTCCTTGGCGTTGGCGTACTGGTTGACAGTCGTGATCATCTCACCAATCCCTATGGGTGGCTTGCGGTTGAACTTGGAGCAAAGCTCGCGGTGATGGAGTCCTCGTATGAAGGCGGTGATGACCTCAGCTTCCATGATGTTAGGAATAGAATTCCTCATCTCAGAAAAGCGTCTGATGTAGCTACGGAGGAGCTCGAACGGCTTCTGGTAGATGCGGTTCAGATCATGCGTGGTGCCTAACCGAGTACACGTAGCCATATAGTTGTCGGTGAAGACTTTTTTCAGCTCTTCCTAGGATCCGATGGAGTCTAGAGCAAGGCTTGTGAACCAGTTTATGGCGGTTGGCGTGAGCATGATGGGAAGATAATTCGCCATGACACTAGTATCTCCTCCAGCGGCGCGCACAGCAGTGGCGTAAGCCTATAGCCACTATGTGGGGTTCATCCTTCTCTCGTAGGGCTCAACCCCGATGATTTTGAAACCACGGGGCCACTGGAGTGTTCGAAGTGCCCTCGTGAAAGCTAGTGGCCCTTAGGGGTTTCGGCGCCATGATCTATAGCGTTGCCGGCGTTGAGCGGCTCGAGAGCTGAGTTCGGGTTACCATACTCTTGCTCGTACTCTTGGCTACAACGTACTTCTTCTTCATGGCAACCGAAGTGGCGCTCGTCGATACGTCGTCGTGCGTCTCGGAGATTATTGAGGTGCACTCGGACGTCTGGTCGACCTCTTGGTCGTGTTGGCGATCGGATCTTGCGGTGGTTGATCAGCGGATTGAGCTTGTGGAGTATGAAGGTCTCTGATTCTAGCGGATCTCGTTGACCTGGCAGTGCACTGCTTTAAGCATAGCGGCGACCTTAGCGACCTCTGGTGTCTGTGGGAGCCAAGCGAGCTCATTGGCGGCCATGGCCAAATTGGCGCTTGGGGTCTTGTAGACGTCGTGGCCGTCAACACAGACAAACTCGTCATCGAGGTTGCGTTGGAGTTGGCGTGGCCTTCCCTGCGAGTCGAGCTGAGCCTCGACCATCGTAAGGGTAGCCTCGTTTGCTTAGCGCTGCGCTCGGTTGACATTCCTGTTGACGCGAGCGACGCGGTCCTCCTCGGTTTCCCCTTCCCGCGGGGGGCTGTCGACGCTGACATTGAAGATTGCGCCCCCACGGAAAGGAGGGAGAGGAAGTAGTTCAGTGGTGGTTTCGACGACGGTCTTCGTAGAGCCCTGGGACTCGGAGTCTGGATTCTCCTCCAGGATGGTTTGGAGGGATGCTCCGGGGCGTCAGCCGACGTGCAACATGTTGACGGCCGGCGGAGGCTGGTCGGCGATCTGGTCGGTGGGAGGTTGGACATCTCCAACCTGGTCGGCGAACTTGCCCCTTAGGGCATCCTGGTAGGCAGCGGCGACGTTGGTGAGCCCGAAAGGCAGAGCCGTAACCCCTGGAGTTTTCCGAGTAGCCTCCGACAGATCTGGATTGGAGGGTGGTCGACGCTGAACCAGAGTGCCCAGAGCCGATTCGGCGATGGAGAGGCAATCGACGAACTTCTAACCAACCTAATCGATGGATGCGATCAGATCGTCGTTGTTGATCTGCCTCCTCTGGTAGCGAGGAAGCAGGTGGCGAGTTGTCGATGAAGGCGACCTCGGAGGCGGTTCCGAGATCGGATCCACAGTCGCAGGTGTTGTTGGGGTGATCGGCGCAGAATCGATTTGCACCGGCTCGATGAGCTCCTCGACTCCGTCAGCCTTGATGATCCACGAGATCGATCCGACCGTGAAGATCTGGCCGGGTTGTGGGAGGGACGAAGAGCCTGCGGAAAATACCATCTTGTTCGACAAGGAAACAGCACGCACACCCCTACCTGGCGCGTCAACTATCGACAGAATATCGTCGGCAGTCCTCCGATAGGTATCCCACGAAGATAAATTGATCGGTAGAGATGCGTGTAATCGAGAACAAGAAGGCAACAGAGACACACGAGTTAGACAGGTTCAGGCCGTCAGTATGACGTAATACCCTATTCCTGTGGTCTGTTGAATTGTATTGGCTATCGTATGATATTGCGTGAGTTTGGAGGGGGTCCCTGCCCGCCTTATATAGTCCAGGGGCAGGGTTACAAGTCGGTTAGATCTGAGAGATAACCGAAAAGTAAGTAATAACATATTATAGGAATCAAGGGATCATACGTATCCTAACAGATCTCGTAGTATCTTTAGGATATCTTTCCGGTGTCTTGCGGGAGGCGCCGAGCAGTGTCATGCCCCGTAAGGCTTCGTCTTGTGGGCTGGGCCGCCCCTGGGGGCGTAGCCCATGTGGTCTGCCGTGAATATCCAGGGTCGTACCCCACAATGACTAATCAAATGTTGCTGGATTTGATATTTCATCAAACTGTAATCTTCTAGCAGCAGAAGCATCTTGACGAAGACCAAGTATAAGACTTGTATATCCTCCTTGGGTTGGATGAGCAACCATGGTCGGAAAACCACCATGTGCGTTGGTTAAATAGACTTGTGTGGTGCAATATTCACCCCAGTGCTTGCACGAGAAGGACCATGTGTGCGGAAAAAAATCAGAACATAGTCTTGGAAAGGAGTCTTTAAAAAATGAGCCATTTTTCTTACAATAAATTCTTCTCAATCTTGTCTAGATTATTTATTGTCTTTTGCACTCACAATCAATTCTTCTGGATCTTGCCTAAGTTCTGTATTGTCTTTTGCACTCTTTGCTTGTTTTCTAAGATTAAAAGTAGGAGATAAATATTACTACTTATAAAACTGAGGTGGGAAAAATGCATGCTTCAACTAATGCAAGTACCTTTTTCCTTACTGGTGGCCTTTTTCTTCTCTTTCTTTTTTTCAAGTACTTTTTTTTATCTTTTATTCTTTGGACCTGTTAGCACCTGAGAAGCTCTGATTGATATTTTACCTTTTAACATGTGTCCAGCATATTCAATACAACTTTGAGAAACCCCACAAGGTTGGGTAGGTCTTTGGCTTAATGAATTATCAGCTTCCAAGTTCAGTTTATCAATAGCTCTCTCCAAATCATCAAGAAAACTTTTGAAACTGAGCAATTCAATGCAATAGATGTCACCTTTCGAGAGATCCGTGCAACTTTTGCTCTTGAAGTTTCATTATCATCTATTTGTTTCTTCTCACAATTCTAATGACAGCATATTAAATTATACATATTATATGCAAACTATATGCTTCTGATATAAAGTCTTATCGGCTCTCAGTCTTGTGGTGCTCTTTCAAATACTCAAACCAATACTCCTGGTATATGAATTATACATATTATATGCATCATCCTCCGAGTTGAAAGCCATTCCAACTTCTGGTACGATAACAGATTGACCAGGATTGCTATCCGCCTAGAAGTACAACAAGACAAATATAAATATAAATACAATATGAAAGCCATCGTAATTTCTAGTATAAATATGGATTAACCATGATTTTTATCCACCTGTCATACAATGAGGCATAATAACTAAAATATCTAAATTATAATAATCCAGCTGTAGTAAATAAGTTCTAGGTTTTGATCGCTGGTGAGCAGGCGCCGGTCTATGGGTACTTTTTACATTCCTAGCTATCTCCAACGACATCATCTCAAAATATAAGACTCATTTCACATTTGGATAGCGCTACAAGCAAAAGGTTTAATAACTATTTTTTTTTGTCTTCTCCAACAATAAGATTCAAAAAAGAACCCTTTCAGCAAATGAGTTTTCAGAAGAGAGGATACTTATATTTAGGTTATGCCTTTGCTGCAACCCAAAATAGGTCTCGTATATAGGTACTCCGTTTGAGACCGATACAATACCATCCAACACATATTTTTGATTTGGGTGTCCATATTGGTTATCTGTTGGAGATAGACTCAGCCCTCTTTATGCATCTTGGGATGTTCAGCTTGTGGTAGTGGCATGGCCCACAAACTGATTTTCGTTCCCATGTGTGAACTTTGCATGAACTAACGAGTACAAGACTTGTGTTAGAAGGTTAAGCTAACTTTAATTAAAACTTGTGGTATGTATTATATATTTGACATATGCAAAGATACTACTAGACGAAATTTATCCTAGAAAATTTCTAGAATAGAGCCAATTCACATGTTGATACGTGTGGCAGATTGAGTCATCGTATGGTCCAAATTTTTTATTTTTCAGCTTTTTTTTTTGAAAAATATTCACAAATAGACCCCTGGTTTGATTTTCGTTTATGTACCCTGACCTCGGCGCCATGGCTTTTGGCGCCGAGGAAACACGTCTCAGCGCCATGGCCAATGGCGCCGAGGTTTTGGCGAGGCATCGGACGTGGCGGTGACCTGGCGCCGACGTGGACAAGGCCTCGGCGTCATAGATTTTGGTGCCGAGCTCGACGTCGTAGATCTTGGTGCCGAGCTCGGCGCCGGAGTGTTACCGTATAGATCTTGGCGTTTGAAATGAAACAAGTATAATTGTTCCGAGGAACATGCAATAACACCTAGCTCAAAGGCCTGGGTTTGAACCCCAACGCTGAATCTTTTTTGCTACATTTTTATAAGCATTTTTCCGGCAACTTTGATGTTGGACAGATTTCTACAAATACAACCTGCTCAAATCCAAAGGGCCTAGGAGGATGCATTGCACCACGGAGTGCCCCTCTGTTCAAGAGACCTGGGAGAACTCCCTCAAGGTGAAGTCTTTGAAGCAAACGGGTAGCACTGTCCTTAAAAACAAAGCCCCACGATGGCATGAGCACTTGCAATGCTGGTGCTTGAATTTCCATGGACGGGTGACAGTTACATCTGTCAAGAATTTCCAGCTGGTGGCTACAGCCGACCCAAGCCATCCTGATAGCGTCGGTGATGCGGAAACTGTTCTGCAGTTCGGTAAGGTTGATAATGATATCTTCACCATGGATTATCGCCAGCCGCTCTCGGCATTTCAGGCGTTCGCCATCTGCCTTAGCAGCTTTGGGACAAAGCTAGCCTTGCCTTTACTTACCTCTGCCCCCGTTTTCCGGCCGAGCTGGCTGGCCGGCTGGCTGTACGCGTCTCCGTAAGTCCGTATTAGCCGCCGCGCCGGACTCTGCTGCTTTTGCCCAAGTTGCCACGGTTGCTGGCAGCCACGGATCGTGTACCTGGATCCGGCTGTCTTCGTTGAATCGCGCGATAATACCAAGTTCGTACCACTACATACTCCTCTCTGCAGCTGCCGCTGCGGCGCCGGATACAAGACAAGTCCTCTGTCTCGAGGCTAGGAGCTAGCAGTCAGATCTCAGACGCCGCGCCGGGAACGCATCGCATGCCCGTCGCAAACGAGGACCCCGTCTCCGCGTCGGCGTTCTAGAAATAATTTTTTATAAGCATTTTTCCCTGAGATATAGCACGTTTCTCGAAATAATTTTTCTTGTTCTATTGCTTATAAAAATGTAGCAAAAAAATTCAGCCAAAATCTATAAAATCTATAAGAGTAACCAGCCTAAATGGCGTTATTGCGTATTTTTCGGAATAATTTACTTGTTGTCATTTAAACCAAGATCAATGGTGTTATTGCATGTTTTACCGGAATAATTATACTTTTTCATTTCAAACGTCAAGATCAATATAGCGAGGCGTGTTTCCTCGCCAAGGCCATGGCGCCGAGGTCAAAGTCCATAAACGAAAATCAAACCATCAGAGATCCATTTGTGAATATTTTTTAAAAAAGACTGAAAAATAAAAAATTCGGCTTATACCACCTCACCCTCCAAGCAAACACTATCCGCGTTCTATACCCGGTCAAGGTAACTTGGGTATTTCCGACGATGTATATTGTGTACCGCTGACTGGTTGGGCCAAGTCAGGACTAATTTAAAACCGGAGGCACACCCAGAATAAAAGATCTTCCATAAAAAACTAAATAATTATTTAAATTATTTCCCTATAGATTTTCACCCTAGAAAAAGATCCAGCAGACTTTAATTTCCAAATTAGCCCTCGGTGTCTCAGTCTCACGTCTCACCCATAGAGTCCGTATCGGCGGCGGCACCTCGGCTGTACTCCACGACGAGCTGCCTGATAGTGATCGAGAGATGGGACAATTGGCCTAGGACATGTGGCCGAAAGAAAGATGCCGCTCACCATTTGGTCACTTGAATTGCCGAAGAAAATCAATAAGAAAGAAACCATTCTCGAGAGATCTATTTGTGAATATTTTTTAAAAAAGACTGAAAAATAAAAAATTCGTCTTATACCACCTCACCCTCCAAGCAAACACTATCCGCGTTCTATACCCGGTCAAGGTAACTTGGGTATTTCCGACGATGTATATTGTGTACCGCTGACTGGTTGGGCCAATCTCAGGACTAATTTAAAACCAAAGGGGAGGCACACCCAGAATAAAAGATCTTCCATAAAAAAACTAAATAATTATTTAAATTATTTCCCTATAGATTTTTCACCTAGAAAAAGATCCAGCAGACTTTAATTTCCAAATTAGCCCTCGGTGTCTCAGTCTCACGTCTCACCCATAGAGTCCGTATCGGCGGCGGCACCTCGGCTGTACTCCACGACGAGCTGCCTGATAGTGATAGAGATATATAGACCTTGCCGTGTCAACCGGGTCGGAAATACCTCACCGTTGGGTTTGGGTCGCGTTTCCATTCCATCGGAAAGCCACCGGGCCGTGACGCCGCCGCTCCGTCTCCGTGTCAGTGGATTCAGTGATCTCCACTCTCCCAGCCGCAGCCGCGCCCGCCAAGAACAAACCGACGCGGCGTCGCTGACACTCCTCGTCTCCTCCCAATAACAAAATCGGAACCGTCGAAACCCGCCTCCCATAAACTAACCAACGACCAACCTTCCTCAGGCGGTCAGGCCCCAGGTGACCCGGTAGCGGTAGGCAGTCCCCAGATTCCTTCTCGCGATCTCACTGCACGCCGCACCACACCGCACCGCGCCAGCATCAGCATGGGCGGCGTCGGCGGCCTCGGACGCGGGCGGCGGGGCGCCTACCTGCCGCTGCTGCTGCTGCCACCGCTTCTCCTGCTCGCCGTGGCCGGTGCCGCCGTGGGGAAGGAGAAGGAGAAGGGGGCGTTCGGTAAGCTGCGGTTCCGGCGGGAGAGCGGGACGTTCAAGGTGGTGCAGGTGGCGGACATGCACTACGCGGACGGCCGGAGCACGGCCTGCGAGGACGTGCTCCGGTCCCAGGTGGCCGGCTGCACCGACCTCAACACCACCGCCTTCCTCTACCGCGTCTTCCGCGCCGAGGACCCCGACCTCGTCGTCTTTACAGGTCGGCCGTGCTTATCCGACCCTGTCCACAGATACTTAGCCAATTAAGTAATCAATCGATTGGACTTGACCATCTCACTTTTCATCCGAATCCATATCGCTAGTGCTGGTAGTTTGGTTGCCGTTGTCGTTCAGTTGGATAGAATATGTGAGAAGATTAGTCAGTCAGCGTGTGCGCGATGGTGATGAGAGAGATGTATAGTTCATTGAAGTTGTTACGGATCGTGGTCGAGATCCCGTTCTGAAAAAAATCTGTAGAGAAGTGTAGCTTCAGCTGCTTTGATTAGTTCAAGAAGGATGTCACGGGTTGCACAAGTGACAGCACGTGGCCTACTGGACTAGAGGAGCTTGTGTGTTCCAGACTGGATTCAGGAATTCCAAATCAAGGGGCCCCGGCGACGGGTAGCATGCCATGACGATTCAGTGAGGTCCCAGTTGTTGATTGGCCTTGGATGACAGCGTTGGGCAACTGGCACGATGATGGATGAGTCCATGAAGGCAATGGGCACTGAATGTGGGTTATGCATCAGAGAACAGTACAAATGTAGCTGCCTTTGACTATGTCTAGGTTACTGTCATGTTTCGTTGTGTTGTGTCACGGTCAATTATGGTTGATCTTTCCAAAGCTGAAACCTGGGTGTGGGAGGAACAGAAACTTAACGAAGCCGTTGCTTTTATATTGTAGTAAAATTATTCCTAAACCATGCACAACAGTGACGGTCATGTGCAGACCATGTTTAGGGTATTAATTTATGACAGTTTTGTTGGGCAGGTGATAACATCTATGGTGCGGATTCAAATGATGCGGCCAAGTCTATGGATGCAGCAATTGCCCCAGCCATTGACATGAAACTACCTTGGGCTGCTGTGATTGGGAACCATGACCAAGAGGGTACACTGTCGCGTGAGGGTGTAATGCGTCACCTTGTGGGCATGAAAAACAGCCTTTCAAGCTTCAATCCGGAAGGAATTGAAATTGATGGTTACGGAAATTACAATTTGGAAGTTTCTGGGGTTGAAGGAACACCCATGGATGAAAAATCAGTGCTCAACCTGTATTTCCTAGACAGTGGTGACTATTCTACTGTACTATCAATCAATGGTTATGGTTGGATCAAGGCTTCGCAGCAAGTCTGGTTCCAACAAACATCTTCAAGTCTACAGGTTAACAACTTACTGACATTCTTTTGGGGAAAATGTTCATCTTAGCCCATTGCTCTATGTTTTTCCTTTTTGCCTGGTACAACAAGCTCAAACAAATCAGGATTGTTGTTTGGAGATTATTTTCTTCACTTGTGAGATATCTGTTATCATTATAGAAACTATATCATAGTGCTAAATTAAATGAAATGGTGCATTGATTTGAGCGAGCATTCTTAGAAGGTTCCTAAAACTATGAGTTGATGCCTTGATGGAATTAGTAATTGTACACTAAGTTATCTGCTGTACCAAGCTTAACGCTGCAAAAACGCTATATTTAATCCTTCTGAAGTCTTTAAGTCAAGGCATGGCTTGTTGAAACAAATGTATCTAATTTTGGTAATGCTATAGTTCACAAAACTGAACATATCTAAAATGCCAGATGGACCAGATTGGTACGACCGTACGAGCAGATTAAACTACAAAGAATGTATTTACACTCATTTCTGTACAGAAGATCATCATTTTTCTATGGGCAATGTATCAAGTGCAAACCAATCTCTCCGTGCAAACCGTGCAAACCAACTGCGGGGGGGAGGTGGGAGGGGGGATTTGCAAAAGTGTAATTAGGAGCGGGCGTAATTACACTTTTGCAAATCCCCCCTCCCACCTCTCCCCCGCAGTTGGTTTGCACGGAGAGGTTGGTTTGCACTAGATATGTTCCCTTTTCTATGTTATCGATCACAGTTGTTCTTGAAAAAATGCAGGCAAAGTATATGAATGAGAACCCGAAACAGAAGGAACCAGCACCTGGCCTTGTATTCTTCCACATTCCACTACCAGAGTTCAGCAGTTTTACGGCAGCCAATTTCACAGGAGTAAAGCAGGAGGGTATCAGCTCAGCATCAATTAACTCTGGGTTCTTTGCCTCCATGGTGGAGGCTGGAGATGTGAGGGCTGCCTTTGTGGGACATGATCACATTAATGACTTCTGCGGGAAGCTCAGTGGTATTCAGCTCTGCTATGCTGGTGGATTTGGTTACCATGCCTATGGGAAGGCTGGGTGGTCAAGGAGAGCAAGGGTGGTGTCTGTGCAACTTGAGAAGACAGACAACGGTGAATGGCGAGGAGTCAAGTCCATCAAGACATGGAAGAGGCTTGATGATAAGCATCTTAGCACAATTGACTCTGAGGTCCTCTGGAACAGAGGCTCTAATGGTAAGACACTCTCTTATGCCTGGATATGATGCTTTACTCAAGCCTGCCTTAGTAACTGTAGAGTATGAGACTATGGGTGCCTTCGGTGAATGGTTCTCATAAAAGGGGGAAAAACTATCTAGGACAAGTGATATGATGTTTCATGTAGGGTTTATTTCCTGTTTTTTCTATGCAACAACTAACCTATGAATTGCCTGACAGGGAGGCACAGGAAGAATGCTGATGGTAGTTAACTTTTGATGCAGACAGGAATGGTGCTCCGTAAGGGATCTCATACAGCAACTGTAGAGTATGAAACTATGGGTGCCTTCGGTGAATGCTGGATGGCCAATTTACTATAGAAGTGGAAAATGCAGAAGTGTGTACATGAGGGAGAAGATCATATACGGACACATACACGCAGGTTTCTGCTGTTGTATTTTTCCATGTTTACAAAATTAGTAATTTTAATTCGGTGCAGCTGTCAATTATTGCAAGTGGTCTCATATATAGTGCAATGGTCAAAGGAAAACGAGAATGCAATGTTACTGTAGTCCCATCTCTGTCAAAGGAAAACGAGAATGCAATGTCATTGTAGTCCCATCTCTCAAGTTTCAACTGCAATTGAAACCTCAGAGTTACCACAATATCCATTTTTCATATAACTACTGAATGTTCTTATGCAATCAATTAAGAAGCTGACAGGTAAGAAATTGCCATCAGTATCTATATACTCTTATAAAATTAAACCTCACTAGATGTTTTATATTTTTATGCAAGGTGTCCACATTATTCTCCTCTAAGTGTCCCAATAATTTGCAATCCTTTCATGCAAGCTATTCATATCATTCCTTATTAATTACAAAAAATTATCCACACTATCTCTATTATGTGTAATATTTTTAATCTTTAATCTCTACATATACTATTGGTGTCATCACCTATTCTTCTATAATGTGATCAAATATCTATTAGCTTCGATTTTTTTACTAGATCCGATACAATAAAATAACATGCAAGTTAAATTCATATATATACACACAGTATACAGAATACCATATAGTAATGTTATATATAAAACAGATTTATTTTTAAGAAAATCTTGCGGCAACACTCAATATGCTTCTAGTACTGAAAGAGGCATCCAAATTCGCCTTGCACCCAGAATTCTCCACATACTAAACCTACTACTGATACTGACAACACCTACCTCACCTAGTGGAACGATAGATTTACACGTCGTCTATATACAGTTGATAAAAGAATCAGATTCAAATCGTTCATATTCACAGAAGAGCTTTGTGCCACGGGCCATGGACCATCCCTGATACCGTGGCCACCTTGATCAGCACCTCGGACGCCTTCACCACCCTATCGACGAGCCTGGCCGCGCCGACGCGGCGCAGCGCCGCTTCAGCCAGCTTCTGGCCCTTGTGGCCGCTGCCGCCGAGGACGACGCCGCGGAAGGCGCAGAAGACGGCCCTGGAGACCATCTTGAAGACCACGTCGCCGGGCTGGAGGCTCTTGAGGAGCACCCGGGCGGTCGTCTGCCTCCTGCCCTGGATCTTCTCTTCCGATGGTGAGCCAACCGCCGCCGACGCGCTCATCATCGCCTCCACTATCTCTTCGGCGCCCGCGTCAGGGGAGGCGTCCAGCATCTTCACGAGAGCCTTGAAGAGCTCTGCGGTGGCGTTATCCAGTTCCTGAGCCGTGGCCTTTGAGCTCTCGCCCATCAGAACCTGACGCAGGATGAGCATGCTGGAAAAACAACAGAAGTTGGGACCAATATCATCAGAAATTTAGAATTAATCTTTATGACAGACTAGATTGTAGTTAAGATGAAGGATAGAAAATATAGCTAGTTACCTTGTAGCTATCACGATGACTTGTTGGAACTGGCTCTGCACGGCCCTCAACCTCATCAAATTAATCTGGAAGCTCTCAGGAGTCGACTGCATTTGCAAGCCCTCTACGCTGCTAACAAGCTGGAACAGGCCAATCCTTATCAGCTTGTCAAGCTTGTCACCCTTGCACTCTGGCTGCCCAGAAACGCCTCCTGCAGCTGCAGGCGAAGAAGACGACGGTTGGCGCACCGCAGCCCCATGGCCAGCTCGGAGTACCGGAACGAGGGCTGCTGATGGCACAACTGAAACTGAAAGAGAGCCTAAATGTTCCCTCCACTCTTGTCGGGCGACGTTCTTCGACGTCGAAATCCATCGCACGGTCAGAGGGAGGGAAGCTCCTGCACTGGCAGGAGGCCCGTAGCGATCGCCGAAAGCGTTCTGCAGGTAGTCCACGCCAGTAGAACCTTGTATGATCCGTTGCATCGCCATCTGGATACGCGCCTTGCTCACTTCTGCTTGCAGCTCCTTTATTTCGTCCAGGGCGAAACGCAGGCCCTTGACGGCACCGACGACGAACGAGCTGGTGCCGTCGGCATCAGCTTCAGAGCTCGCAGCTGCCAACTCGGTCAGCAGCTTGTCGTGGCTTTTCTTCATCTGGTCCTCCTTCGCCACAGCGGAGAGCCTGCGGACCATGCCCAGCGAATACTGCAAGACCTGCCCCAAGTATTGTGCGTCCTGGGAACCTGACCCGAGTACCTGAGACAGAATTTCAACGTCGATTTTCTCAAGGATTTCCTCCTTCCACCCCTTGGGAGACAGCTCGTGCAATGAGTCCCTGACTTCCTTGACTAGGCTGACCAGCTGGCTGTAATCAGGTTTGTCTCCTCTCATGGAGTCCGTGACCAAATCCCAGAACGCTTTCTCCATGGCTTCCCTCACTTTCTCCTGGAAGGCGTTCTCGGCAGCAGGACCAGCAGCACTGTCAGATTTTCCAGCGAAAGCACTGCCGTCGTCCTGATGAAGCATTTCATTCACCATTCTCTCGTTCTCTGTCGGCTGCTTCACCGGTGATGGTGACGAACTACCTGACGATGAATTGATGCTCAAGGCAGGGGTAGATACGCCGTCTGCGGCAGGTTTCTGTACCGGACTTGCATCCTTCTTCGCTTCGAAGAACTTCGACGTTCGACCTCGTGTCTGAAAGAGCAGAGTCCATCCGCGCGACACCAGGATCGCCGCTCAGTAGCTGAACCTTGTCACGCAGGAGCTTCTGGTCATCGGCGACCTACCGCTGGATCGCCTTCATATCATGGGTGAGCCTGCTCGGCGATCGCCCGTCCGCGGTCAGCTTGCACGTCTGCATCATCGACAGCTCGAGCTTGCAGGCGGCCCTGACAAGGTCTCCCTCCAGCAACGTCGCGTCTTTCACCTTCCACGCCACGAAGCGGTAGAGGTACGCGCACCACGCCTTGTCGAAAGCAGCCAACTGGTCCCTGAACTTCCTCTGAACAGCCGAAGAAGGTCCATCGAGTACTGTCTTCGTCAGCAGCTCCAACTCCTCGACGAAGCTGGCCACCGACTCCATGAGCTGCGTCTCCCCGTCGCGTTGCCCGCTCAAGACCGCGCTTGGATGAGCCAGGATCATGTAGGCACAGAGCACGACCCTCAGTGAGTACCTAGGCAGTCGGTTCTCTTGGGAACTTTGGGTAACCGTGACCGGTCTCTTTGGCACTGCCGCCGGCGCTGTCGTTCCCACGCTGCTGCTTCGAGTACGTCGAGGTGCGGCGGGCTTCCTCCTTGGGGGGAGCAGCGAGGTGTTTCTGCAGATGATCGACGTTTTCCACAGGCGCAGAGCTAGAGATCACGAAACGCCTCTCCAGTCGATCGAGCAGTGCCCTCGTGGCCTGGAGAACGGGAGGGGACTCCATCGACATGGCCAGGTTTTCGAACGACATGTTCTTGACAGACTTGCCGTTGATTCCCGAGGAACCGAAAGCCTGAACCAGCGCCAGTGTCGTCTTCTTGGACAGAGTGAATTTTTTTTTCCAGCATCTGAAGTTCACAGGGAACGGAAAATCCGAATTAGTATTCGCTCTAAAGTCGTAAGCAATTGTCTATATATGTATTGTGGGAGACGAGTACTATACCTTGCTAGCTTCATAGAAAGCAGATCTGCATGCTTGGTGTAATCAGCACGAGGGCTTTGGTGCTCCGTCAAGTACTCACGTCGTTGCCTTCCAGTGTCTAAACTTTGCAGCAACTTTGTCGCCGCCACCGCACGTTCCTCCGCCGGCTGTACCTCCATTGCCACAAACTCCAGAGCTCCCGTCATCGAAGCCGTCCCCTCGCCTGAGTCCTGACCGATCAACGCGAATTGCGCAAGCGACCGGAGGCTTCTCTTTTCCTCTCCCGTTGGCCCCGATCGCCGCTGGGTGCAGATTAAAATAGAGGGCCGACTGTCGATGGCAAATTGGCAATCTGTTTGGATGCCCAGACTCCGAGACGGAGGACGAACCGGGAGAGGGTGACCGCCAGCCCACTACGGACTTTTGCCCTCTCTGGATTTTTTTTTATTTTTATAATCTTTTCTTCAAATCTTAATTTAAAAATAATCTCGCCCACTTTTTATTTTTATTTCTAATCCTTTGTCCACGTCAACGCGTCTAGCGCGGCAAAAACACGTTCCTGCGCCACTTGCATCAGTCTGCCACCTTGCAATGAGTCCCTCACTTCCTTGATCAGGCTGACCAGCTGACATCCAAAATACAAGACCTATTCGTTTTTTGTGTAGTGTTATAGGCAAAAGGTTCAATACCTATTCGTCATCTTTTCCAACAACAAGACCCAAAAGAAAATTATTTCTGCAAATGGGTTTCCAAGATAGAGGATGTCTATATTTAGGTTGTGCCTCTCAGACAACCTAAAATAAATCTCACGTATAGGTACTCTATTGAAGGCTGATTTTAGATCTCTCGTCACCTATTTTAGGTTTAGGTGGGTTACTGGAGACAGGATCGTGGAGTCCGTGACCAAATCCCAGAACGCTTTCTCCATGGTTTCTCTCACTTTCTCCTGGAAACCGTTCTCGGCAGCAGCACCAGCAGCACTGTCAGATTTCCCAGCGAAAGCACTGCCATCGTCCTGATGAAGCATCTCATTCACCATCCGCTCGTATCCATTAACTCGGACTACAGATCTCCTAGCTGGCATAGTTTCCAGGAGAGCGTTCAACACTTGCATCGATTTGGCACGAGATACAGGAGCCAGCAGGGCTTGTTAGTCAATTTGTCTCAGCCACATTGGTCAGAGGGGCAAATGGTGTAGCCCATTGTTGTGATCCAACACTATTTTGACGGATGTGTGTTCTGTCATACGTGCATTATGTTCTTTTTTTTATAAGAACGTTTGTCATGGACTGACGGATAGCATGATGATAATACTCTCTTTGGCAAAAATGTCAGTCAATCCATAAACTCTTGATGGTTTGTCTGGCCAGTTATTCTGAATAGATCTCACATTCAGCAATGAACTACCGTATCACCATTTACCAAACATAAATACAGTACCACCATGTATCAGGGTCTGGGTTAGAAACATTTGACTTCAGAACAATCATTCTGCTACGTTTTGCCTCATTCCAGATATGAATTACCATGTCTATTTACTGATTCCACATAATCATCAACTTCAACAAACTGACGAATTGCAAAATCAGAACGAGAAACAGAACTTGGTGAACATAAGTATGCAACGAGCTCTGATTTCTGAAGATCTTCTCGACGAAAATGAACATACCATAAGCCACAAGGACGAAACTAGACCAGAACACATCCCGTCCACAGATCTAAACACGAACAAGTTACAACACAGTTCTAATGGGGCCCCTACTTTCTAAGCCTTCTTGGGGGACTTGGCGGCCTTCTTCGGGGACTTGGCCTCCTTGCTGCCGCCGCTGGCCGCCTTCTCGGCCACCTTCTTGGGCAGGAGCACCGGGTTGATGTTGGGGAGGACGCCGCCGTGCGCGATGGTGACGCCGGCCAGCAGCTTCCCGAGCTCCTCGTCGTTGCGGATTGCCAGGAGCACGTGGCGCGGGATGATGCGCGTCTTCTTGTTGTCCCTCGCCGCGTTCCCGGCCAGCTCCAGCACCTCGGCGGCGAGGTACTCCAGGACGGCGGCGAGGTAGACGGGGGCGCCCGTGCCCACGCGCTGCGCGTACCGGCCCTTCTTGAGGTAGCGCCCGATCCGGCCGACGGGGAACTGCAGCCCGGCCTTGACGGACCGCGACACCGACTTCTTCCTGGGGCCGCCAGCCTTGCGCCCGGCCGCACCCTTCTTCGCCTTGCCACCGGCTCCGCTGGCGTCCATGGCTGCTCGCTGCTCCTGCTGCGATTGAGAGGAGAAAATTTTGGGGGCTTTGGGCGAGAGAACTTGAGTGGTGGGAATTGCGATGCCGCTCGCATTTAAATGGCGCGTACGGGGGAGATGTGGTGGGCCCGTCGATCCGCGTGCGAGGAAAAGCGATAAGATCCCGGAGGATTTGGACGGCTGGATGGGGTTACAGCAAGGCGATCCGCGGGAGGGATGGTTCAGCCAATCAGGTGCAAGCAACAAAGCAGAACGGAACCGCGCCTTTCAGCAAGCTATTTTTTATTTTTTTATTTACCAACAAATGTGAGAGTAGTATAATACTCCGTACATACTACTATACTACACAAAAAAAACGATGTTATTGAGGCCTCCATTTTTAACTCCGATGTTGACCATTATACTCTGATCAAATATTTCTCATGTAAAATTCTAATGCTGTTATTTTTATGTTGGAACCTTTATTATGCCAGCGTAAATTCACGATCAAAGTTTATACATTTTGATTCCACATGTTCTTATTTCTTAAAATTTGCCAACAGAGGGAGTAATATTATTGATGGAGCCACACCCTCAGTACTATACATAAATTAAATATTTTCTAAAGGTAATCAATAGCTACAAGTTTGAATAATAGAATATACTGAAGTCAATATTCTTTTCTAGTTTTCTTTCGGTGAAGCCATTGGATAAAGTGATACACCACCAGGACAGAGTGTCTATTGGATATTTACCATGTAACAAAAAAGCAACCCATTTAATTTTTTTTACCAAAATATAAGTTGCTAGTGTTATTTCTAGAATATTTGTTTTATACTTTTATAAGACATTGAAATATAAGGTCCAATCCCTGAAAATTATTCTCACATTATTAGCTATAAAATTGGTTTTCCTATATTTTACATTGGCCCTGTTTACTTCGCTGAAAAGTCATGACTGAAAGTACTGTTCGCTGATTTGTTGTGAGAGAAAATATTATTCATTCGCTGAAACAGTACGGCTTATAAGACAAATGAACAGGGCCATTACAGTGAGAAAACAAGAGAGATGCAGACCAAAGGGAAACGATGATTGTCTTCGATTGTATGGCTAGCAAGGCCTATTGTGGCCGTGAAGCCGCTGCAGTGGCCGTGAAGCCAATTCAGGGCGCCAAAAATGAACTAGCCGCTGCAGTGGCCGTGAAGCCGCCTTCAGTGAATTGTGGCGTGAGTGTTTGGCCGATGCGACGTGCCATACTTGAGGCGCGCTATGGACGTGAACCAAACAGGGTCGTAGTCTCAAAACCTCATTGCCTATGTAGAGCAATTCTGCACCAGTTCTATTACCTCATATTGTTGGCACCCTTAAAATAGATTCTCATCGGAAGTTTTGTTGAATCGTAACATGATTGATGATTTCATCTTTGTGCACACGGTTGCCCTTTACCGCCTTTTTTTCTCTAGAGGAAATCATATTTGATAGCATGTGTACCGAGACAATATATTTGATAGCATGTGTACCGAGACAATAAGAATGAAACAGCGGTTTTACATACTCACTGCTTCCTCGGTTCCTCCATCCCTTTTTAAGTGTTTGGCTAGATTTATGTGAGAGTCAAAGTTTCTTAAATTTGACAAGAATTATAGAAAATATTAGTAATATTTAGTGTATTATAAAAATATGTCCAATGATTAATTCAATGATTAGTAATCTTTTGTATCTTTTATATATATTTGATCAAAATTGAGTATGTTTCACTTCTCAATATGTGGGAACGATAGTTAAGAAAGAAAACGAGAGATTATCAGCCTGTTTGCTTGGTCGTATTTGGCTTATAAGCCATAGCTTATCAGCCAACGAACATATTTTTCTCTCACACCAAACCAGCCAACAGTACTTTCAACCATGACTTATAAGCCAAACAAGCTCAAACGAACAGGGCGTATGTTCCTGAGATCTCCTATGCTGCTCTAGGAAGAATTGTAGGTCAGACATCCATTTTCAGATTCCAAAACATACTCCCTCAGTTCCAAAATAGTTGACACTTTAGCTGTGTCTGCGAATTTCATAGCTAAAATACCAACTATTTTGAGGACAGAGGGAGTAAAGGCTTTGTTTTGTACTAACTCAATATGGGCGAGCAATTTGTTTCTTCAACTCGATATGCCAAACAATTACTACTGTAAGTAAATTTTATGGGTTCAAATTGCAAACCTAGTCAATAAACGAAACAGCGCTTCGCAGAATTATCGAACTCTAGATTCTGAAATGTTCTTCAAACGAGAATGCAACTTTCTTCGAACAATGTGTTATTGCTAGCGTGACTGTTGTTCATTGTGGCAATGTTAACGTCATCTACATGATAGTGGATCCCGTACACTTTCATCCTACGAAGCGCATCAAGATCAACGTCCATTTCGTCCTTCCGCAAGAAAGTTGTCCAAGTGTGGTTGTATTGTTTCAAAAAAATAGTCAGCTGTGGTTGTTCCGTGTTCCTTTGTCTCACCAATTTGCGGATATAACTAATGACCAAAGGATTGCATATACGGTTGTTTATCGAGTCTGCGCGTCCATGACTCCCAATTTGACTCCGGGTGGATATTAAATTAAAGAAATGTAAATATGTTGTACACATATTTCGTAACACAAGTGGTTTCGACCTATATGTATATGTATATTATATATTATTAAAGTCACCCAACCCCAAAGGACGTATGATCATTCTCAATCTCTTTAGTTTTGACAACCTCGTTTTACTTATTTTTCCCTCGAATAGATTACATATACACCCATATTATCGACAGAGAAACCAACCAGTGTTCCTCCCAGATTCGTGTTGCATCTGTGCATAAGGATCAACAGCTGGTGTCGCAAAAATATGCAGGGAATCCCAGCAGAGGAACGAGCAGATCTTCTCACTGCTCTCCGAATTCTGACCAGTATACACATTCCGGATGCGAAGCCTAACCAAAGAGGGCGTGCCAAGAC